TATGGATATATAAGTCTTCCATAAAGGGAAGATTGCATGAAATTAAATCCAGAGGGTTAACTGCAATGTGCAAGCCACTAATATGCCTCAAGAATAGAAAAACATGAAAAAACATACTTTTAACAGATAAAACCAAGATCAACCTCTATCAGAATGACAGCGAGAAAAAAGAAGGGAGAAGGCATGGAACATGATCCAAAGCATACTACATCATCTGTAAAACACAGCAAAGGCAGTGTGATGGCTCGGGCATCCATAGCTGCCAGTGGCAGTGGAACACTAGTGTTTATTGATGATGTGGCACAGGACAGAAGCTTCATAATGTGACACACATTTTAAATGGGAGACAGGTCTGGACTGCAGTCAGGCCACTCTAGTACCTGCACTCTTTTGCTACAAAGCCACACTGTTGTAACACATGCAGAACGTGGCTTCACATTGTCCTGCTGAAATAAGAAGGCAGGTCTGTGAAAAATCTATTGCTTGGATGGCAGCATATGTTGCTCCCAAACCTGTATGTACCTTACAGCATTAATGGTGCCTTCACAGATGTGCAAGTTACCCATGCCATGGGCACTAACACACCCCCAAAACCATCTCAGATGCTGGCTTTTAAACTTGCGTTGATAACAATCTTGGTGGCCCATTTACTCTTTGGTTCAGAGGCCACGACATCTATGAGTTCCAAAAACAATTGGAAATGTGGACTTGTCACACCACAGCACACATTTACATTCCATCAGTCCATCTCGGATGAGTTCAGGCCCAGAGAAGCTGGCAGTGTTTCTGGGTGTTGTTGATATATGGCTTTTGCTTTGCATGGTAGAGTTTTAACTTGCACTTGCACTGTAGATGTAGCGATGAACTGGGTTAACTGACAATGGTTTTCTGAAGTATTCCTTAGCCCATGTGGTAATATCCTTTACAGAGTGATGTCGGTTTTTAATGCACCTAAGGGATCAAAGGTCACGGGCATCCAGTGTTGGTATTCGGCTTTGCATCTTGCGTGCAGAGATTTCTTCACATTCTCTGGATCTTTTGATTATATTATGGACAGTTGATCATGAAATCCCTAGATTCTTTGCAATTGTTCATTGAGAAACATTGTTCTTAAACTGCTGAATTTGTCCACTCAGTTGTTCACAAAATGGTGAACCTCACCCCATACTTGCTTCTGAACACCTGAGACTATTGTTGATGCTCCTTTTATACCATGACAATTAAGCTGTGGAATGTTCAAAACAGGTGTTTTTTGAACATTCCTCAACTTTCCCAGTCTTTTGCTGCCCCTGTCCCAGCTTTTTTGGAACAGGTTGCAGGCATCAAATTCAAAATAACACAAAACAATAATAAAGTTTGTCAGTTTGAAGACAGATATCTTGTCTTTCTAGTGTATTCAATTGAATATACGTTGGAAAGAACCACTGTATTCTGTTTTTATTTACATTTTACACAATGTCCCAACTTCATTGGGAATTGAGGTTGTACTTGACTTCCAGGTATAAACTCTCAAATGCAGACCTTAAAGCAGATAACTCATAAGCTGGAGAGGAAATTGTATATTACAAATTTAGAAGACCATCAATTAGCCTGGAGAAATAGTTTGCTGCTTTATTTAAAAAAAAAAAAACAACCCTGTGTATCTTGCTGCTTTCTATCTGACCGTGTCTTTTGGGGCACTGGTTTCACAGAACAAATGTTAAGGGAAGACGAAAACAGGAGGGAGATTTGTGAATAAAACCATCAAATGAGCACTTAAATAGATGGATAATACACTATCATCATCAAAAGGAAAATAAAGAAACGTAAAATATATTATGTCAACAAATTTGTCTCTCTGGCCATGTCATGTCCCTCCATCAGCTGCACCGATTTTACTGGTTCCACAAGAAAAAGGGACAATACTACACATCCACAAAGGACACCAGTAGGCTGGG